CTTTATAGTTTATCTGTTATTTTCTCTACCCTATCTCTATATGGGATCTGACAATGTTACTGACCTCATAACCACAAAAAAAATCAAAATAAATCTAAATTGCTCTTTTTTTCTTTTTTTTCTAGAGTAACTTCAAATTGTAACATGAAATTACATTTGTTTAACCTGAGTAGCTTTAAGCTCATAACAGTATACATCTATTTATAATTAAATTTTATTATACATGGCTCTAAGGACAACTACTATCCACACCATTATAAGTTGTAAATTACTCGGGAAACGTGAAGCTCATGTTACACTATCAAATTACTTTACCCACGAGTTACTATGAGCTTCTCACATGCGTGCCTCTTGAAACATTTTTATTATATTATTATTATTATTTATTTTACCTAATCTAACCTTAACTAACCTAAAAATATCCATATGTTTACATTATAGTTACTTTTATAATAATAAATAAAGAATAAACATGAAAAACAAGAAATAAAGTACTTACATAATCTTCTTTTTTTCTTGCTGTCAATTGTCAATGACACTTAACCCTATTTTTTTATACTAATGGTAGTAATGCATTAAATAATTTTTATTTGATTAAATAATGCACCAAAGAACACAGACTAATAACATGCAAAAGTAGACAATTTCCCCTAACTCTCAAAATTTTTCTTGCTTTCTAACTATGCGAACAGAACTGTTACAAATTCATCCAAGTCAGTTGTTAACTTTCCCATGGGAATGAACCATGCATTATGAGTGAAATTGATACCTATCTGTTCAGAACACAATATTGTACAATACATCATTTGATAGATGAAAACCTTCACTTTCTATTGGTTATAGGTAATATATAATTAAACGTAAGAAAGAACTATTAACAAATCCTGAAAGAAAGGATGTAACTGGTGGGTGTGGCATGAGGGGTTTGGTTTTCTATTTGACAGCTTTGTAGCCAAACAAAATTGATGGCTATAAAAATTATGGTTTGTCTGAGCAATGATGATTTTATAGTGTGTAACTTATGTTTAACTTCGTAGTTACTGAATGGGTGGTGGATAAAATAGAGAAGATACCTAGAGAAACTGTGTCACACTGGGGAAATTCAGGATTTTTTTTTAAATATTGCCTTATAAAATTAAGAACCTAAAACTTGTATACTATTAAAGTATGGATTATTAGCTAAGATTTTATGCTATACATAAACAAAAAGTAGCTTAATAACATTTTGGTTGTAAGACACTAAAACCTTGTGTCATGTGCAGTAAAGGATACCTGTGGCGATAAGGTTAAATACATTTTACTAAAAACTTGGAATTAATTTGTTTATTTACATTGTTTGTGCTTGATGTTTATGTAATGTAATTTTTAAGACAAGATCTCTTCCTCAACCAGAGGGGAAGTAGTGTATTGGGTAGCAGGGTAAGGAACAAAAAATATTATTAATAATATCTTGGAGGCATTGCATATGCCACTGGAGAATCCTGAATCTGCTGTATCCAAATATGCAATCCGTATGATGATAACATATTTCAGTTGGGAGTTATGAGCAGTCAAAGAGACACAGGAGTTGCTGCACCACCTCACTAGTACACAAGTTAGTTATCTTTCTTTTATTTATTTTTTCATTTTCCAATCAAATTATTTGACCTTTTTTCATTGTCTGTTTGATGGTGGGGACTTTGTTCTCGATCTTATGATATGACGGAGGCTACTATCACTATGTCCTTGTCAGCATCAAACCTAGTTTTGGGTGCTTCCACAGCATCTGTGGGTTTGACAGATGGATTTACCTCAACAAGGGCTGTCAAAAAGTTCATTGTGATTGCATCCACAGTGGTTGCACAGATTGTAAGTCAAACAACTTAGAGTCGAGGGAATAATGATGATTGGTGATGACATAACAAAGAGTGTCAAAGTTCTAGTCCTGATCAGCAAGGGCTTGGGGCTAACTACTGAAAATCGATTAGGCTCTATTTTGAGTAACAGATGCAACAACAAGTGAAGAAGAAGAAGAAAGCTCATGTAGCAGACCCATTGGTTAAATAACAAGTACTGTCATTAACCATAGGGTTTCTGTTGATGTGACCATTCATAATTTGGTACCAATTTTTGTCCAATTTGTAAACTGTACTTGTCATATGTCATCACTTGTTACATCCTGTATGAGGTACTAAAATTGGATAAATTCTGTATCTTTTACATCTGATCTCTGCCACCAAGATGCCTCTAGTTGAGAAAGAGATCTTGAGTGAATAAGTTGTAAATAGCTTTTTGTATACGGGAGCTCAAATAATTGACTTACTTATTTATTGAATAATCTTTATTCACAGTGTATAAGAACATGGCAGATGCCATGAAGAAACATCCTGAAGCTGATGTTTTGGTTAACTTTGCTTCCTTAAGGTCGGCTTATGATAGTACTATAGAGACGTTACAGTATCCACAGGTACGTTTTTTCAGTCATTACTCTTACTCTGCAGTGATTTCTAAGTGAACAGTTTAATAATTATTTTAAGCTAAGTATACATTAATTTCTGTGTCCTAAATTTTTACAATATTCACAAAGATGACCTTGTTCTGCTCTGAAACAGAACATGGATAATCTAATGTTTTCAAACAGACAGAAAAACAAACAATGCCATAAGTTAAGAATTTTTTAAAGTAATTATGAAATTATTAGACTACACTTTTATGATATTTTTTATAAAAAGTTGACAAAACCCAAGTATTCTGTAAATATAAATTTCAAATTTTGAATCTACAGGTTTTTAATTTTATAAATACTTCACATACATATAAGGATTATTTCAATACATTAAATTCATTTTATTGCTCTTAGTGATAAAATTTATAAATTGTGAAAGCTGTAAAGTATTGTAATAAGCAGAATTAAAATAATACTTGTTTCTCTTGAAACAAATTAAAGATTGAATTGTGATGAAGTTAAGTTCTAAGTATTAGGCTTAATTTATTTTAACCACTACACACTTTATTTGGTCCCATAGAGTTTTTCTGAGGAGAAGAATATATAAAAGTATTTCATCCACATTGTGTCCTCCATATCCATTGCTGACTATTTTTTACACTCAATACCAGAGCTATTCAGGCTGGTTGGAACACAACAAACATAGTAGTGGTTGTAATACTATTTATATAAGCCATTTGTTTTAATAATGATTGTTATGGTGTGAATGTCTTTTGCTGGCAAAGCATGATAATAATTAGTTATACTTGTCGTAAGACAATAGTATTAGGCTTATTGTATTTTTAAACACTGAATTCTTTATTTTCTGTGAAGAAAAGTGTATAATAGTATATCAGCTACACTGTCTGTCCTATTTATTACTGATGATGTATTTTTGTCATACTTTTAAAAAAAAAATGCTTTGATCTATTAATAGCATGGTGGTCAAACAGAAAATAATGGAGATTTTAAGATTTGGTTGCAAATGTTTAAGAAGCAGCAACATTTATAGTGCTGGTTTTCATTTGGTGTTTATGTTCAAAAATTAACTTTTATCATTCCATTTCTAGATTAGAACCATTGCTATTATAGCCGAAGGCATACCAGAAAATATGACTCGCAAGATGAACAAAAAGGCAACTGAGAAAGGAGTGACAATTATTGGTCCAGCTACAGTAAGAAATTAATTCAAAAAATAAATTTTTAGTATGAACATAAAACTGGCTAGTTTTTTTAGTTTTTATCACTTCTCTCTTGTTTAAGTAATAATGCTTACATCTTTTGATTAGTTGTTAAAATAATGGTTTGAATTTCTCAAGTTTTAGAATTTATATTTCTTAATTTTATAACCTTTATTTAGTGTAATTCACAAAGAAAAATGGGAAAAAAGTTCTATCTTCTGTTTCTGTGCACTACATTTATTGATTTCATATTTTTTGTAAGAATTTTTCTACTCATCCCAAAGTATAGGCTTATATTTACTAAGAAACCACTATCATCCCTTGGAAATATAATTATTGATATCTTGTTTCTCACATGATTTTCATTCCGTGTTAGAGGTTTTTTTACTACTACCCCCTCCCTCCCTCCCTTTGTTACCACCATTTTTGGATATTTCTGGTCTGAATTAATGAAACTCAGCTTTGGAAATAGTTCTAGCCAACCTTTTAAAAATGATCAGATAAAGCAAATTACAAACTATTTACTTTAGTGTAGAGTAAATAATATGGTCTAAGTAGTAATTTATGGTTTTGATACATTGACTAGCTGGAGCTTACTCTAAGGGTAAACAAAGGAATATAATGGGAAGTTTAGAAGACTTAGGAACAAATAATAGACCTGGAAACGTTTCTATAGTTTCTTTAGAAATTATTTTTCCTGCAAATAACTGTTAACTGTGTCTGTTTAAAAGCTACAGAACTTTGTATGAAAATACATCAGATAAGCATATTAGATTTATCAATTACAGTAGGCAACTGGAAAGTATTCTGTATTCAAACCAACACACAGAAATAAAAGAGCTTATTACTTATTGCAAAGAAACTACATTTATTAGATATAAAATCTCCTCTACTGACTTTAAAGTTTTAGGTATGGGCTACACATACTTAGAACTTCTCATTAAAGAGACTACTTATTAAGTAAAATATCCATATCTTGAATAGTAACTCAACGTCTGTTGAGTTAAGCTTGTTTTAATCTTTGTCATTAGTTGTATTGATACTTTTATTATTTCATTCAGTGTGTATCTATATTGTGCTTGAATTCATTCACTGGTTTTTACAATCCCACACAATTTTGAATTTGAACATTGCCCTTAAAAATAAGTGTTTATTGTACTACATAAGCTTTTAATTAACATTCAGGTGATTATCTGTAAATGTGATATTGTGTTTACCGTAGGAATTTGCTGAAGATGGAATGTATACGTTCTGAAATGTTCAATAAATATTTCCTCACTTCTGCCTCGTGTGTGTGTGTTTCCAGTGTACTAACTAGGTGGTATGAACGTGAAGTTCTAGCATGAACCTGTTTTATTGTTAAGGTCATTTATGTAATATTAATCCTCTAAGTCACTATGTTTTTGTTTTTTTTAAGGTGGGTGGCATTAAGCCAGGCTGCTTTAAGATTGGCAACACTGGTGGGATGATGGATAATATTCTTTCATCTAAGCTTTACAGGCCCGGAAAGTATGTTGACATCTTAAAACATTTACAAAAACAAAGATTAGGCTGAAACATTCCTTATGGGTATTTACATTTTTTTAAATAACACTATTAGTTTCATGTTTTTTGCAGTTCATTATTGAATTAATTATTAAATCGACAAGCCTGAAATATTTTGTAATGATACAACTAATGATACAACTTGCTTTATTCTAAAGCACAAATTGGTAATTTAAAATTGATGTTAAGTTTGCTATTTTTGCTTTTAGTGAAGTATTTTAAATGTTATACTAAGTCACTTTTTATGTTATAGTATGTAACTAATTCCTTTTTCTTTGTATAAAGTTTTAAAAATTAATTTGCTAGCTTGTAAATTTTCTAGATAAGACAAGGTGCAAAGTTAAAAATACTGTCCAATCTTGAATGAATAGGAAATGATTTAAATATTATAAAAGTTTAGTGATGAGCCTACTGAACTAAGTAATTAATACAATAAGAACTACTTTTACAGAAGACTAATTCTGGTTTTAATTATCACAACTTTTCAACCCATACCTGATGATAACCTGGTACTACATGTTAAAACATTGTACTCACTAAACTCAGAACTTGGCTTTTGTAAAAAATTTTGAATTAAGTACTATAAAGATTTCAGAAGTTCTAAATGTTAAAATATAATCTCAAGATAACACAGTTATGCTTAAATTACAATGCAAATCAAGTGATTTTTGCTATTACTTTTTCACTTGTTTTAGGCATCAGATCATTATTATTAACTTTGTCTTCTAATCAAATGCTGACTTCAGCTGAAGGCAGGTCAGTCTTTTTGGTGTAATGTGGTCACATTAGTATTTAGCAGACAATATGGGGGGACAGAGTAAGAATTGATACTTAAGTTTGTGAATATAATTTCACTTGTTGGTAATTAAGAGTTCAAGCTAATATATATAGTACATATAACAATTTATGGTGGAAAAACTATGTATCATAAGTTACCTAAAAAGATTTCTTATCCCTAGTGTGGCTTACGTATCTCGGTCTGGTGGTATGTCCAATGAGCTCAATAATATCATTGCTAGGGCAGCCAATGGAGTGTATGAAGGAGTGGCAATTGGAGGAGATAGGTAAGTCTTTCATAGGACATTTTAAAGATATATATTTTGTTCATTATTTCTTATTAAGCTTTTTATACTAAATGAGATTAAATTCTTATACCATTGGATATCTAGTTGATGGAATAATTTTTAAATAAATGGAGATCAAATTTGGCTCAGGAGGTTATCCGCTGATATTTTTGCGATTACATTATCAAAATTCAGGTACACGTTCTGTAGTCTGGTTTGGTTCTCTCCTTTTCTGATTTGAAATTTTCATGTTTTTCACAATAGAATCTCTTGGTCTTTTTATAAAGATAACAGTCTAGCTTGTTGTTTCTGTGTATAAACTTAAGGACATATTGAGTGGAAAAAGCTTGAAAGTTTAGCCATATCCTTAACCTGCTAAACTGAGCATGTTTCATTGGGGCACAGTCAATGTGTGAGTCATGCATCTTTAGAGTTCTGTCTCTTTTTAATCTTAAAATTTTTGCAGTTGGGCAAACAGTGACTTTCCTGTTCATGTTACAATTTCAGTGATTTTTTTTTGTACGACTTTTTTGACTAATGGTTGTGTAGATAAACTTTAGCTTTCCCCTCAATTCATACTTACTACATTTGTTATTAAAAAGTGAAGGGGCTTCAGCCACAAATATTCCAGGGGTAAGGGTTGAGCCCTGTTTTCATGGAAGGGCTCAATATGAAGAGCCTGGCACAACATGTGTGTTTTTATCAGCATATGTGTTTATGGTAGCACAATTAATACTTTATTTCCCCTGAATCTTTCATCTTATCTTCACAAAATCATTTTATTATTTGACAAATAGGCAATGAACATGGCTTACATGTGTTTCAAAACAGTTTTTCTTAAATTTATTTTCTAAAGCTTATAGGATAATTAGAGATGAAGCAGACTGTAAATAGTTCCCTAAAGTTTCATTTGATTTGTAATAAATTCATGTATTAAAGCTGTATCAGAAAGACTACTTAGATGGGCTACTAAAGCAAAGAATGTTTTGATTGAACTCGGTAACTAAGACATTCTTAGAGACTTCCTTTACTGAATGTAGGTATCCAGGAACCACCTTCATGGACCATTTATTACGATATGAAAGAGAACCAGATGTTAAAATGATGGTATTGCTTGGAGAGGTTAGTGTTTAAGAAAAATTTATGGGGCCTGGTCAGGGATAGTTTTGAAAGTGGTTTTAAGTTTTCATTAAAATGTCTCACGATAACTTATTATAACAGCATTTTTAGTTGATTGCAATCCTTAACTTTCTAATTTTTATTTATGAAGTAAATCATACTGTTGAGATTTTCATGCAGATCCTATTGTTATACATTTTATGATGAACTTAAGTGCCAACCAGTTCTATAGTAATAGTACTTGTAATTGTTGCTGTCAAAAATATTCAGTGTAACTCTTTAATAATCACATTTTGGCATTAGTAAGGGTAATTTAAATACCTTTTTTTTTTGTCTCCAAAACATTTGTTGTTTACTCTACCATAGAGACACAAACTTTAAATGATGATTTATTATCTTAACCGTGATTGTTTTTGTAGATTTTATTTTTTGTTTTAGCTTATTAAGTTCTTTCCAAAAAGTAAGTTTGACATGTTTACCTTTTTAAAATATTAATTATTAGTTTTCAAGAAAAAGTTCCCTAGTGGTTCAGCAGTAAGTTTAAGGACTTTCAGTACTAAAATCCAGGATTGGATTCTGTGTGGTGGACAGAGTGCAGATAATGTATTGTGTAGTTTTGTGCTAAAAAACAAAACAATCATCCAAATTCATGAAAAATATATCTAATAAGTGTTAACCTGTAATGTGTAGTTCTAATAGCCATAGTTAGTAACCAGTCATAGTAATTGATAACCACTGCCAAAATTCTACTTATTAAAGCTACCATGATTATGAAATTTTATATATCTTCTATTCTTTCTTCACTGCATTGAATTGTGTGGGTATTAACTTAACATTGTCATAATAATCATCACTGGCTAATTGACTGTTAATTCTAATTTACTGTTCAGTTGTATAGTGAAGCATAAATAGTAAACACTACTAAACCATAATGTCCTCTTGTAGAAGTTGTTAACTTATTGTCAGTTGGAAAAACAAAATCTAGTGTTAGTACAAATCCACTAATAAGAGCTGAAGGAGATAAGATTACACAAGTTCTTGTGTTAATGAATCCTTTCTCATTTGAGTGGGCATAAAATTGTATTTGGTACCACAAGAAGTGAACAGTACAAAGCAGGCCCGGCATGGCTAGGTGGTTAAGGCGCATCACTCGCAATCTGAGAGTCGTGGGTTCAAATCCCCATCCCACCAAACATGCTCAACCTTTCAGCCATTAGGGCATTATAATGTGATGGTCAATCCCACTATTTATTGGTAAAAGAGTAGCCCAAGAGTTGGAGGTGGGTGATAATGACTAGCTGCCTTCCCTCTTGTATTTCTCTGCTAGATCAGGTATGGCTAGCACAGATAGCCCTTGTGTAGCTTTGTGCAAAATTCAAAACAAACCAAACCAGTACAAAACATTTTCAGTATTTGCAAAATTATACCTGTAATTGTATATTTGTAATATTTGTATTTTGATTAACCTTTAGTAAAAATACGTAGCTAGTGGTATGTCAAGGATTTTGATAATTACTTTTTTAATGCTAGATCATTTACCTTGAAATAAAATATAAATATTTATGCTTTTTAGCATTAATATGGATTTTGTACTTTTAGTTATCAGTGAGATACAGTAGCTGTTTTTAAAACAGTGAGGAAAAATAAGCAATATTTTTGGATGCAAATCACCTATAATTTTATTTGCCACCAACTGCTATATCTGATAATGCCATAGTGAAACAGAATAATCATGGTAACTTATCATACCTTATCCACATCTTTTCTTTAAGGTTTCGAGTCTTCTCATTTCAAAAACAAATAATTTTTACTGTGTGCAACATTATTTAACTTTCTAATGTTATTTCACAGATTAAATATAAAAAAACACACTCAATTTGTATGATTTGTAGTTTCTGTGGATTTTTTAAAATAGTGTAATTTAAAAAGTGTACTGATTATCAACCAATTTTTTGTTCTTGTTAACTGCATTTCATTGTCCTTAATTGAATAAGTAATTTAATATGGATGATATGTAAAAGTACAAGATTGGAGGGTTGTTGTAAAAGAAACTTTGAAGAGTTTAGTAATTTGAGCTTTGTAGGTGTATTAGTACTTGCAGTTAGTGAATTTATATGTAAGAGACATCATTTCTCAAGGTTGGTGGGGTTGAAGAGTATGAGGTGTGTGAAGCATTGAAAGATGGAAGTATCTCAAAACCATTGGTAGCATGGTGTATAGGGACGTGTGCTGGAATGTTCACATCAGAAGTCCAATTTGGTCATGCTGGAGCATGTGCTAACACTGATAGAGAAACTGCAGTTACAAAGAACAAAGCTTTAGCTGAAGCTGGAGCACATGTGCCACTCACATTTGATGAACTAGGCAACAAAATAAAGTAAGTTATATCTTCTGTGTTCCCTTAATTTGTTTGTCACTATACTGTTACTTTAGGGATGTTGAAAGAAAAACAGAGTTACTTTGTTTTATGTGCAGGATTTATAAGAAAAAATTATTTTACAGAAACGTGTTTATTGAAAACTAACTATCTGTTTTTTACAAACCCAGCACTGTGTCAAACAGTAATTATCCCAATTGATTTTGCACTAAGCTGCATACAAGCCATGTACTTGAAAAACTTTTATAGGTTTCCTACATGTTACTTTGATGTATCAGATTTGTTTATGTAGAAAGTATTTATCCAGATTTTTTATGTTAAGAAACTAGGACATTTCCCCACAAACAATTTTCTTTTATTTCTGCAAACTATTGGTTCTCTTGCTGGAGCCTTCAGAGAATAATTTCTAAGTTTGACATACAAGTCAAATTTAAAAATCGGCTGAACTTGTGTAATATATTTACAAACTTTAAGCTACTATTATTATAAGGATAATGCAAAAAGGTTGTCTACAGTATACCCTGTATATTTGGCAAACAGTATATTGGAGCGACCCAATGACTTAATACTTAGTCATTAAAAGAACCCAAATGAGACATAAAAAAACTGTGCCATACATACATTGTCTTAGCATCAAATATCCTGTAAAATGAACATTATATGGAACTTAAGTAAGGTAGTAGACAAAGAAGTTCAGGTGAGAAGAAGAAAAATTAAAGAAGACATTTTTGTAAGGGCTAGTAAAGTTCTCCTTCTGGCATGAACCAAAATGGACAAATGCCATTGAAAACAGCATGGTAGTATTTTATCAAAAACAACAAAAATGCCGATGTTAAGATTGTATTGTAATTTATAAACTAAGTAATCTATTAAAACTTCATCATTTTAGGGATTTTATTTCTTACAGTATTAATTTACACAATATTATTATATTATGTAATGTATTTCTGTTGGAAATAATCCTTATATGTTTTTTTTATAATTATTTATTTTCTAACCATTATTTGTAGGTGTTACTATTACTAGGTGATATTTTAAACTCATTTCATTGAACATTTATAAACAATATTTTTTCTTGTAACACTGACATCTTGTCAGTTGAAGGCTCTAGCAAGAATGCCTAGAGTTTGCAGAAATAAATAAAAAATTATGTTCATGTATAAATGTCCTAGTTTTTTTAACATAGACTTAATACCACAGAATTAGCTTGAAATTGTATTCAAGTTTTTTAGATGTGTCAGAGATAAACCTGGTTTTGTATCTTTATAATTTTCACACTATAGAAATAATAATCTAAAGGTTTTTTTAAAGTAACATTAATCTAGCTGTTTTTTGTTGTTGTTGTCAGCCTTAGTCATGTAGTAAAAAGTAAGGTTACAGTCACCAATATAGTTTTGTATTTTTAATTGAATATGATTTATTAAAGCATAGCTTACATCAGATTTAACAACCATGTTTATAAGTATCTATAACATAACATAATATTTAGGGACAACAAGGGACCTATTGGTCCATCCGAGCTGTCCCAGCCACTTAACTAAAGCTTTAAGAAAAAAAACTAGCAGCCAGCCCTCATCATTCATATATTTATAAAGCCTTTCCTTAAATTTACTGCCTTCACCACATCCAAAGGCAACCCTTTCTAAAGACCAACTACACTGCTAGAAAAATAAAAATGTCTTAGTTGAAGATGATTCCTACCTTAATTACTAAAATTTATATTTGTGCTCATGGTCCTACCATTCTCACTATTAAATATGATAAAGATAATGCATCAACAATATCAAATCCTTAAACAATCTTAAACACCTCACACTTCTTTTATCAAGAATAAACAATTTCAGAGATCTTAGCCTCTCCTTGTATGACAATCGTTTCATCCAAGGTATAATCCTAGTAGCCCTCTTCTGAACCCTTTCCAACAATTCATTATCTTTCTTAAGGTAAGGAGCCCAAGACTGAACTTAATAACCCAAATGTGACATAACCAGTGACCTATACAATGAAATTATACCCTCTTTAGCCTTTCATTCAATATTTCTGTAGATACAACTTAAAATCCTACTTCACTAGCAACAGCAAACTATTTGGATGGCTAAAGAGACTGATAAACCACTACACCAAGATAGTTTTCTTCCATAACACTGTTAAGGTTATTCCCATCCAAATTATACTTGTAATTCAAATTATGATAACCCTCATGCATTATCTTACATTTATTATAGCTAAAACCCATCTGCCATTTCTTTCCCAAGTCTTATAATCTAAATCATTTTGTAAAGTACCAGCATCCTCACAGCTAGCAACACCCAATACCTTAATATCATCTGCAAATTTTTGAAATTTAGTGACCATTCTCTTATCTATGTCATTGATGTAAATAAAAAATTTAGCACCTTGTCAAATACTTTCTGAAAATCCAGATACACCAAATGCACACCTGTACCCTCATCTACATAAGCAGCAACCTCTTCAAAGAATGTCAAATGACTTGTAACACAAGGTTTTTCCTTAGTGAAACCTTGATGACTATTCAAGAAAATTCTAAACTCTGTTAAAAAGATAGTGCAAAGCATCTTTTATCAGACTTTCAAACACTTTTCCCACAAATGAGGTAAGACTAATAGGCCTATAATTACTATTCATTATGATATATGAATGTAGTTGTATCACTACATGTATAATACATACACACACACAGTATTTGAGCAGTACATTTACATAATCACTGATGTTGAAAGTTAATCATATTGTAGTCCTATTTATCAGTGTACGTCCATGTTTATTAAAACTTTTTGTGATGTTATATTCACTTTATCATAATATATTTACTTAGTGTTCTTTAAACATATTTAAAATTAAATTGACATTTTCTGAATTGACAGCGAGTGAAAAATGGAATCTGAAATGTAACGTGGAAAATTTTCTTATAAATAACAACTGATGATATTTGTATCAAATAATATACCAGTATCCAAAAACTAGCAAAGTTCTGAGTTTAAATATATGTATTTTTATTTATTACCCATAGTGCTGCATAGTTTTTTTCTCTCTCCATTAGTATACTATAACTAATTCATACAAGTGCTAGACAGTTGCTAGGTTTGACGATACTGAAATAAGGAAGTCCATTAAATCAGTCATGTCAAATCCTGTCAGGCTAATTTAATTCAGGATCTTTACTTGATGTAATACTGTTAGCCACATTATTTAAAATTGCTATAAATAAAGAACACTTACAGTTATACGCATATAAAAAATATAGAATTTAAGTAAGAAATGAAATGTATTTGACTGGCAACCATGTGACTGGGTAGGCAAGACTGTTTTATATTTATATTATCTTAGGCTTATAATAAAAGCTAATGCAAGAGAACTAGTGACATTAAAGGTTGCACCCATTTAACTGATGAAAGTGAAAGCTTTAATGTTAGATAGATCATTATTTTTAAAATTATGTTTATTTTAGACCAGACCTTGATTTAAAATTTGCAACATTTTAGAAAAGAAAGCCAAGAACTAAAGTTCAGTTTATCAGAGTTCCAGTTGCTATGTTTCTATATAGCCCAGTTAACTTCTAATTTTTTGTACCACCTTTTTAAGCAAATTTTCTTATACCAGCCAAGTTGCTTCTTGCATAATACTATAAACTCAGCTAACTTGAAATATAACTTATTATTCACTAATACAGAGACCCCCTCAAACTTTTTCATTGTGGGACTTCTTTTTGTGAGAGTGTATCCTCAAATCCCCCATTTGTCAGGTAACTAAAAATCAACAGAGAATAACTATATTTCTAAAGAACAAAAGGGTAAGATGATAATATAATTTTATGCCTACAGGTTACAGTTTCTGAATTATTCCAAAACTTAAAAACATTCAATCCCGAAACATAGAATACTGAAAAGAAGAGTCAGGTATGGCTTTGTGGTTTGCATTCTGTTGTCAAAATATTGTGCTCTATACTTTGGGGTCATAGATGTGCTATTTAGTCAGAGAAGAGTAGACTAATACTTAGTGCTGTGTGTTGTCAACTAGCGCTTTCTCTGTCGTCTATCAGGATAAAGTTAAGGATGACTGTTTACAGGTAGTTCTTATGTAGCTTTGTATGAGAGGGTAAAACAAAGTAAAAACTTAAAAAAAAGGAAATGCCGTCCCTGTAAAACAACCAAACAATATAGTAGTTGAGAAGATGAAACAAATCTCTCTGAATATATTTATATATTTACAAAGAAAAAATATTCAAAGAGATTTATTGAATCTTTTCTATTCCTTTGTCATCTTCTTTGGAGCCTTCCAATGCTCCCATTGCAAGAACACTTGCTCTAATATGTACTTTGCATTTTTAACATGAAGTAATTTGTATTTGTGGTATTTCAGTATTAAGATGTTCTATTTGCTTATGCATGAAAGAAATGCAGCAGTATTTGATTTTGCATTTAGTAATTTGTTTTTTTTTTCACTTCAACTATGCAGTAGAATTCAATTCATTCTTTTTTTTATGGCATAGTTTCACAGTTATTAATTCTAAAGACTAAAAAATTATTAAATTCTTCATTTATAATGCTACAAAACTAGAGAGAAAACTTGTGCTTTGTGTACAGAACATTATTTTGGTTTTGTTATTTTCGAATGCACAAACTTTATGAAATGTAAAGACAGTGCTGTGTATTTAACAATTAAGTGACCTGCCTAGACTACTCAAATATTGTATGTATGTAGAGTTCCAAATGAATCTGGTTGTGTGGGGCATCTCATTGACTATGAAGTTAAATGTAATTGTGTTAAGCCTATATCACAACACGTGATACCCACCAAACACTTCTAGTATAAAAGACACTTTGGGCCAAATAGTCTGATCAAAAATGACAAACCAGTTGACTTAACTAGTAAGTTAAGCCATATCTAGTGATGCTTTCAAAACCTGGGTATCAGGGGAAAGTATTCAAACTCAGTGATATTTCTTCAGATCCCTACTCAAAAAGATTATGGTAATGTTACTCTTAAGTGTCTATAAACTAAGAAATTCACACAGAAGACCTTCACACACATAAACACTATTGTCTGAGATGGAGTCCCTTGGGATTACAGATCCATTCCCCAAACACCTCTCCCTTTGCAGTGCATAGTACTTGCTACACCTGCCCCTCCCTTATGCATATGATAATATTGTCTGTACTTTTCTACTCGTAATTTCGTTTATCCATAGTTTAAAGAAGTTTGAAAACTTCCTATGCATACACGTGTATTATTTTTGTAATTATATAGATTTGTTTCCTAATCAGATTTATGAAATAGATATTAGGCATTGTGTTTCTTAACCCTGGAAGTACTGATGACTTTTTAAACACATTTTTCTAAACTATTTATGCACCAAATAATATATGTGTCACACATAATTGTTGTAGGAGGGAAAAACATAAAATTACTCAAGTGGATGTAATCCATGGACTCCAAAGGTAGTGATTTGTGAGAATCGAGTATTTTAAGATCTTAAAATTATTAATGACTAAACATATTTGTGTTAGTTTACGTGTAATTTTTAGATTAGGTATAATTAAAGTATTAACTGGATTCTCATAATTTTGATATATGTCTGTCAAATATTTGCCACTATCTTCACAAACTAATAATTTGTTGTGTCACTTTTCATTTCAAGTGTTTTGATAGCTAAGACATTACTTGTCAGGTCTAAGCCTGCTTATTTTGCTTTACACTTAAATATAAAATTCATTCTACATGAAATAAATACACCTTTACATTTAGAAGATAGTAATTTTCATTTTGAAATAGGTTTCTACATTATCATACATTCAGTCTTATTGGAAACAATAAAATCTGCTTTTATATTATCAGGTTATGTCATGATATAAAAGACTGTTTAGCTTAGATGTTATTGATTGATTTGTTTTTTGCAAGTGAATATTTTATTATTGTTTAGTTTTTGTTATAATAAGAGTTAAAAGCAGATGATTGTAGGAGGTTTTGTTAACAATTCATTGATGTTGAGACTGTTGAATGTTGCATACAATACGTTGACATCAAGAATATAGAAGGCAGATTAGGTAATAAAGATATAAATAGCGTGAGATGAGTGGGAAGCAGCAGACAGATAATAGCAAAAGAGAATAAAGGTGGTGTGAAGTTAACTACCGTAGAAATGATAGGCCTAATGTTTAATATGTTAAGGTGAAACTAACAGTAGAAAAGGAGATAAGAAAAATTATTTATTCCATCAAAGCGTGGTTCTAAAGTAATTGAATAAGCCTAAGTGGATATTTGACAAGAAGGAGAGAACTACATATATAGTGTTTATGATATACCTATAATATCTATAGGGTTGAAGAATTTGTTGTACATACATTAACTTGTTTCCCGATTATA